AACCCCTTCTGGCCTGGTACATTGAGGGGCAAATGCTCAGATACACTCTAGGCCCCTGGGCCTCTGGGCCTGGGCCTAGGGTAGCCCATCTCCCCATACAGCTCCGGTTGGCATTCTCCTGAAATTCCTCTGAAGCTCTGAAATAGACTGTTTATACTCTGTGACACTCTCTTCCACCCCCACCCCCACCCTCACCCTAGGCTCTCCGTCCAGTGTATGACTTAAAAGTGACATAAACAAATTAAAATTCACATAAAAGTGAATCCCCACTTCTTAGGCAAGAGTTGTGAGGCTTAAGGGCTTTCGGTAGGGACTTTGAACACCTATGTATCCATGCATCCGGTAGAGTTCTCTTGTACTGGCTCTGCTCAAAGAAACAGGGGGTTTTGCCCCAAGCTAGCACACAGCAGAGAACAAAGACTAGAAACCAGGCAAGCACTTAAAGATAAAAGATCATTTTCCTCTCCCTCAGTCAGGAGCCTTAAGGAGAGGAGGCCTCACCCACACATTTCCCCAGTTTGCACGTAGGATTTCAGCCAGCAAATCCATCCACTAAAGCTGCCTCCAATTCAAACTGGATTGAGTGACAAATGGCTCAAAGATTTATAGGTGGCCATGGCTACTCCCCTGTGTAATTACCCTCTATGCGTGTCTTCTCCTTCTCTCCCACCCCTCAACCCCACCCCCATTTGCTTCCTCCGCCCTTCCTCTCCCTCCTGTTGACTTTTTCTCTCCCGGCAAACAGTTCCAGGCACTGCTTAGCATCTGCCACTCTGGCTCTAGAAAGCTTTGCTTCCCCTCTGCTCCCTGGCTGGCTGGAACCCAGCCTCCATTGTGGACGGACTGGCCCAGTCTCTGTGTTTCTCTGAGTGTGGACTGGTGCATTCCACACCATTCACACCGGACTCTGAAGTCAGGGAGCCGCACCAGCACTTCAGTTGTGAACCATAATCAAGACAGGACCAGCAGAGAGAGGTTAATGTTGCTTTTTATACTTTAAGCAGAAAACCGAACAAGACATTCAGCTTTGGTCAGATCCCACAGAAGGATTGAAAATGGTGGCCAGGTTGCTTGCACTGTCTCAGAGAGAACAGAATGGGAAAAAGACAGCACTGTTTGGGGGGTTCTGCTTTGTTTTGTTTTGTTTTGTTTGCCTAGGATGGGCAGGAAAACCTCAGCCCAGCTCCCTAACACCCAGATCTGCCCAACAGTGGTGAAGGGCTGCTGATTACTGGCGCATAGGAGAAAAAGGCAGAAGTGCTCAGAGTCAAGGCAGCAGGTGTGGCCTGGTCAGAAAGGAAGCCCCAGTGGTCTCTGGGTGGCACATATGACTGGGATTCTCAGATCTAGAGGGACAGGGAGCCAGCACAAGAGGGAGGTGTCGGAAGTGCAAAATCAGCTGAATACTCACTGTGTTTAAAATGTCAAGAACAAGACAGGGAGGAAAAGGGAGGGGGAGGGTGCCTTTTGGTTTGTGGGAGGCAGGTTACAAAATGCTAGAAACACAAGTTCGCATTCTTGTGTCTGCCTGTTACAAGTCCAATCTGCAGCCAGGGAACACAGGAACCTGATCCCACCCCTCTGAGCTCTGCCTCCACCTCCCTGGGCTCTGGAGGAGGCTCCCACTGCTGCATCCAGAGCCAGTCGGAACATCAGACACACCCCGTGCCATCGAGATCTTAAAGATCTGGCTAAAAGGCTGCAGACATTGTGAAGTGCTCAGGAAAGAGAGAATCAGGCCATTCTCTTAGTTTCGATTCTAAATTGTGACTGTGGGGGGGGAGGGGGGGGGGGAGGGAGGGTTAGGGAATGATCTCAAGAAACATGGCGAGGGAAGGGGAAAGAAAGCAAAACAGAAGACAACAAAAGCTGAGAAATGGCATGCCATTGAGAGCAACAGAGGTTCGCTCTCACAAGAAGCCCCCTTAAAGATCCAGTCAAACACTTCTTTAAGGTATTGTTCACCAGGAAAGTAGAATACATTTCATCTGTACCATTCCTCAGTGGCACATCATTAACTCAGAGTGCAGCCTGAGTTAAAGGCATTCAGCAAACACCTATACAGGCCAGAGAGTGCTGCCTAACTGGACGCAGAAGTGTTCACAAAGCTACTCGTGAGATCCAGAGGGGTCTGTTCCAATAGATCAATCTGTTACAGCTATCATGGCTGTGACAGCTCCTCCTCACTCCTATATCTGGGCGTGTGTGTGTGTGTGTGTGTGTGTGTGTGTGTTTGTGTGTGCACAATTCAGATACTTCTCTCATTTGTACTCCCTAACTACAGCCTTAGACCTCGAGCCCCCAGGTGATTTCAGCCAAACTGGGCAAGGCAACTTTGCTTTGTCACAGGAACAAGTGGAAAAGAGCCTCCGGGTGCCTAGCCACTCAGGTGTAAATCCTTACCAGCTTCCTACCCTGCTCACTGGCTGCTCAAGCTTAAGCCACAATGAAGAGGAACAAGAGACAATCACAAGCTATGCTTCAGAATTCAGGAGTTTAAGAGTCTGGGGTCAATTTGAAGCAGTATGATTAGATGATGCTAAGAACATTAATGAACCTTCCAGAAATGTACTTCCTCTCTAAGATTGAGTCTGTATACCCAGAAGCACTTGCACTTCTCCTACCCACCCATGATCTCAGGCATTAGTTTCAGGTCCTAAGATAGGAATCTTTCTGGTCACTTTTCAAAGCTTCACTTTCTCTCCCTCACTGGCTTTTGTTGATATTTGGAAGAGGTTGGGTTACCCCGTCCATCATTCTGTCCACAGAATATCCTCTAGTCTAAGAGACACTAGACCTTCCTGAACAATAGGTTGGGTCAGAATAAGTGGGGGGAAGGGATCACTCTGAAGCACACAAGAAATCCATTTGCTCACAGAGCGGGCTTTCCCACTTCCTGGTGTGCGCTGGTCCCTCTAGTCTCTGACAAGCAAGTTTCTGGACTTGCTATACATAGTAGTGACAAGAACAACACACCTTCCCTAAAATATTAGTAGGGAACGAGAAGGGTCCCAGCCATGTGGTTAGTATGTGTCACTGGTGTCTTTGAAGATGCAAGTGGTTAGCCATCCGTCTCCAGCTAAACCAGGAGTGCTCTCTCATGACTAGGGAGGACTGAAAGATGAAGACAGTACCTCTGGAGAGGACAGGTTTATGGAATACTCAGACACAGGAGATGCCACTCAAGGTTATCACAGTGGTAACAACAGCCATTGTAGTGTGCACTGTGGGCCCAGGCCAGGTCCTTGGGGTGCTGAACCCCATCTGTACTGAAACAGAAAGAAAATCTCTCATCACCTAGTCAGATAAAATAATGGCAAAATGGATATAAACCCGTTCTTGGTGGGGGAGGGCTTGAGGGAGACGCCAAACTGCTCTCAGAATAAATCCCCACATAATCCTAAAGAGCAGTCAGGGAGAGAAGTCACTTCCCTGTCTCTCTTCTGAGCCAAATGCTAGCCTCCTGCGGGAACAAGGCTGTTCTTGGCTCTTATATGTCAACACGGGGGAGGGGAATCCAAACAGGATGCCCAAGGGAAGAATCCAGAAGAACTTCAAAAGGCAAAGACATGGCAACAACAAAGAAAGGGAACAGGGCCAGGAACAGAGACTAAATGTACCAGGGTAGGTGGCACCGTCGTTTATAAAAATAGGGATGAGTGGATGTCCCAAGTGGGGCTGGGTCTTTGACAGTATTCCAGGACTGAGAAGATGGTCCCTACCCAGTGGGAGCCAGGGTGGTTCCTGAAGACCTAGTTTTCTGCCATCTTGCTTGAGTCTTGAAGGATTCACCCAAGTCAGTTGGGGCTTCATTTTGCAAGGAAAAGGTTCTTCCTTTGAACAGCCTAGAATAGACATGCAGAAATTGGCTGAAGAAAATATTCTCTTAGCTCCACCTTTAACCACACTGAAACTGCCTCCAGGGCATTGTGGCATCAAGTTTGACAAACCCCAGAATAATCTGGAAAAGGTCATCAATAACTGTCCACAACCAGGCCACCACTATTCCTTGTAGGGTAAAACTCCAGATCAGTTCGAAACACCAGTTATCCTCGGCTCTTCAAACCTAATCCCCTCAAGCTCCTTGATCACAGAACTTGTGGAAAGAGACTTAGGCTCCACACTTGCTAGGGCAAAGCCAGCGGGTGCACCACCGCTCCGGCCAATGACAACACCGTATGTATGAATCACAAGGCAGTCATGGCCACTTTGCCTTAACTTTGTGATCCCTGAGTCACAGAGGACTCATCTATTCGGATGTCCATCATTCACACAAGCATCTTTCTCCAGGCAGCCTGGGGCACTTTATAAGCTGCTGTCTCATCCCCTGTCATGTCACTTGGAAGGAGAACAAAAGGCTGGAAAACAGGAAGGTCATTTTTTTATGGGGAAACTGAGGCTCCAAGAAGCCCTAAAGTGAAAAGTGTAGACATTTCTGAGTCAGACATGCTAGAAAATCCAAAACAAGTTCTGACTCCGATTTTTTGACTCTATTTTCTTGGTTAATTTTATAAAGCTTTTATGACAAGGTGTTTTGATGCAGCAAACTCAGAACAGGTGAAGCAAAAACATATGCACACTGCCTCTTGTGTAACCATTTTCTCTCATTTCATCCATCTCTTCCCTCACCGGTGGATCTTATTAGCTCTGTTTCTTTTACTTTATAGGCTCCTGTTTTCCTGTGGGAGGGGCATGCTCTGATCTGATAGGCACATTACCCCTTGTGCTTACATAGTTTTAACCATTACCTGGTTCTTGATAGTCTCTGATTTTGGAGTTCTGCCACCCACTTCCTCCCCCTGTCCCTAAACTCTATATACCCTTGACTACTCAATGTAGGGGTTGACAATTATCGGGGATCAGGCTTCAGTGAGGGTCGCAAATGGAGTGTAAAATGTCCACTTTATCCATTTGCTTTTTAAAAATGGCATTTATCAGCTAAATGTTTGGCCCAAATCAAAATACATGCACATCTAAATAGCCACTGTAAATAGGCTCTATTAAAATAGCTGCCTCCAAAGAATGGAGCTTGTTGGTGTCACCTGTTCTGGCACCTGACTAGACCCTCTTTCCCAAGGCCTTCTGTTCTGCTGTATCCTGGTGTGTAGCTCATCAAAGGAGACGTGAGCGTCAGGGCTGCTTTTTACCCTGCTATTCCAAGCGAGGACTACGTAGGTGTCACAAATGAAGCTCACACGGAAGCAGAATAGGACCCTAGTGGCACCGCCACGTGTCTCTGTCTCCCTGTGATGCAGCCTGGCTAGCATCGGCCTTCTGCCAACCTCTTTTGCTGCCCCTATCCACCCACGAACTCTCATTGGGTCAGAAATGAGATTCTTTGACAGTGCCAGACAGACAGCCGATGCTGGGAAGAAGAAAGCAAAAGCAAAAGCGGCTTTCTAAATTAAGCCTGGGTTCATTTATAAAAATAAATAGCCACAGCCTAGCAACGTGCTCACAGCTTAGCTTTCTTCTGTTATGAAATCGCCATGGCTGGGGCCCAGGATGACAGAGTCAGAACAGGACCCCACACCCTGACTCCTCCCATGAGTAGTAGTCATGGGGGAGTGCTGACAGTGGCCCTTGGAGGGCCTTGCTCTTCATTCAGGCCAATCTAAGGCCATGCTCGAAGGGCAGAGGGGATCCAGAGCCTCTGAAACATGAGACCCTCTGAGCACCTTCAGGCTCTAGGCAACAGCTAACACACCAGAGGCAACAGTGATTGAAGTCCCTTCACCAAAGAGGCAATGCTCCTGTGCTGGATCTTCATCATCCCACAGTCAGAGGGGGCACCTACAGGAGATTACAGGATACTCGTTATTCCTACCCAGGTGCTAGTGCTGTATCTGTCCCAGTGGGGAGGGAAGAGTGCATGGAATACATTGTCAGTAATAACTGTTATCATCCCCAAACCTTCTCTCCGTCTCACATCAACAGTACCGCCAGTGATGAGTTCTGCTTGAAAGAAGAGAGAAAACAGTGGATGATCTTTTGATCTTAGTCTTTCTGGGATTCTTAGAAGTAGAACCCACAAGGACCTTGGAGACTCAGTGGGAAATGTGGCATCGTGGCATGAAGATTTTGTTCCTGCCATCAGCTCTCTCAAGCTTTGAAATGATATGTCAAGTCAGAGGGCTCCTGTGACCATCTATTCTGAGTTGCTAGGATCAGAATGATGGGGCTTCACTTTGTTTGCTTCTGGGAGATTCTATATGCTCCCTAGTAACCAGAAACTGCCCAAGGTAGCAGGTCAAAATGAGTTCAGAGTTGAATCCCTCCCTTCCAATACTAAACAGATCAGAGAAATTGGCCTAGAATGTTCTTCAAAAGTTGGTCTTCCCCTAACCTGGCTTAGCCAGAAACAATGAAATCACATCCATGTCAGTAAAAAGAAAGTTCTTGCTAAAACCAAATATGTGAGAATATATTATCTAACAGGTTTGGTTTTGGAATAATAATATGCATGTGGGAAAAAAATAAACAACAATAAAAAAAATAGTACAATAGCACCCAGCTTCATCTCACAATGTGTGGTAGTTTTCACAGATTCTGGGACTGTTCCCATCTCAGCCACCCAGACTACCAAGGCTCAGTGTTAGAATCCTTGGGAAAATAAACCATGCTTAGGATTCATCCCTAGGAGAATCAGCATGCAAACTGAACAGGCTATCCCTAATCTACAATGAGAGTTCCCTGATGGTGCTAAGGGGTGCCTCTCTGGAGCAGGCAAACCACAGTAGCAATTCTGCGGCTATACTCCAACCTGGTGAGCCCAGGATGGGTTTCTAATCCTCCCAACCCAGGCCTCCCATGTGACTGCTCTGTGATAGGATCCTACAGAGAATTTGTGTTGGATGTGGTTGCCTAAACAAGACCAGCAAACTGACACCAGTTGGTATACTCTTCATAGATTATAGGATCCTAATTGGTCAGCCCTAGACACTCAGCTCTGTGACCTTACCTTCTTGCAAACTCAGAACTGACCCACCAGATAGGAGCACTCAAAACAATGCTCCTGTGTCTGTACTGTATGAGAATCCAACCGACACTATGATGCTCTTCCCAGCCTCTGAGCTTTTCCTATGTAACAATGTCTTGTAATCATGAAGGCTTCTGTTGAGTTGGCTTCCGGTGTAAGAAGTGGGACTTCTTTGATGAAAACTCTGAGGATAGTTTCTATCAGTGCTTTAGTCTTTGGTCCACCTGACTCGTAAGCATAGATTGTGTGGTGACCTCTAACCAATTAATTCCATAGCTTTGTATGCCAAAGACTTCCAACATTGGTTTCTATAATTATTTCTCTTTGTATCCAATCCCTAGAAAGGTCTGGGATTCTAGAATTCATGAGGAACCTTCAGGTTCATGTAGTTTCAGCCTTTCCCTATGAAGATGGAGACCCAGAGACAGGAAGGGACGAGTACTTGTCCAAGGGCATCTGCTTAGCTTCACCCACCCTGCCCTAACTTCTCCATACAGGCTAGCATTATTTTGACAGTGATTTCCCTAGGGCAACAGTTCAAATTTCACCCTTCTGGAACTTGGAGCACCATTTTCTTCAGGACACCATACCTTTTAGGCCTTTGGACTTCAGCACACATAGCAGAAGCAGCCCAGATTCTCAGCCTCCAGTGCATGAACCAGGAGCATCCTAGATTCTCTTCTCCAGCAAATGGACCCGAAGCCACCCAGATCCCTTGGCCTTAGACTAAATTACAGCAGCAGCTTCCCTGCTTCTCTAACTTGAAGATGGTGTGAGTGGGATTGCTTGCTTTTACATTTACCCACCCACATGAAGCCAAAGGTCTCCCCTGTGCCACTATTCTCTATATAACCTAGCCATATGAGGAAGAGTTTTTCAGTTCGTGCATAAGGATTAATCCTGCCTATACTAGATCTTTCATGACAACCATCCTAGCTTGACTAGGCCTCACAGGATTACAGAGAAACAGGACTATAGATGCCATAATTAGAAATTTCCTAGTCAGGCAGGTAAGTTGGTCACCCTGGTAGGTTTCATGCCCCTTTCCTAAGGACCTTTTCATGTAAATAACAAATCATAGAGAATATGAATTAAAACCAAAATAGCATCAAATCAATAGGATCGGGAAGATAACTGGAATGGTTATTAAGAAATTTGTCTTAAATGAAAAGATCCATGAATAAGATGGGAAAACCAGGTGATCAACAAGGAAAAACAGCCTTTCTATCAAAGGACTCATGTAAAGACATGCCACCCAACCAGACAGCCTGAGTTTGATCTCTAAGACCCATGTGTTGGAGAAATTAAACTGACTCCCACAACTTGTCTTCAGACTGCCACATTTGTATCACACCATGCTCATGAGCTCGCTCTCTCTCTCTCTCTCTCTCTCTCTCTCTCTCTCTCTCTCTCTCTCACACACACACACACACACACACACACGCTAAAAGTAGTTAAACCCACTATGTTGAAGAAAAAGAAGAAATATTAAGTCACAACAACCCACATTACATAAAAATGGATCACATGAGTTTATCCAAAGGAAGATGCTTCTTTGGGCCAAGACACTATTTGGTCCACTGAGGACTGAAAGGCTGAGCACCACAGCTCACAGGAGGACTACTGACCATGTATCACAGCATCACTGGCTGAGAATCTTTATGATTGTGGTACTCTGCCCCGAGTTTGCCAGCCTAGATGCTATTACACATTACCCCTAGGCTTTTGACAAAATTGATAAAGCCAAGAATGCAATATCATAAAGTTTCCTTAAATGGCATTTCCCAAAGTGGAACTGATGTGGGTTACTATTTACATTTTCACTTCCTATGTCCAAGTTTAGCCCACGTGAACCAAGTCACATGTTAAACAATGACTTAAGGACTTTAGTCTTAAAGCCATCCTCCACTGTACTCCGCCCACAAGCAATTATTAGATTCTTTGAAAAACAACAAAACAAAAAACAAAACCCTTTTTTTTAAATTGGCACCAACTTAAAACCTAGAAAATTCATATTACAAATGTTAGCTAAGCTTTCTCCTTTTACAAAAGGGAATTCTTGGAGGCCATAACTTCCTCATGGTCATGGTCATGTGAGACTGAGAACCTAGATAGTGTAGCAGATTGTGTGTGTTAGATGCCAAGATTCAAATGCACTCCCTGCTATTTTTAGATAACATTATTTCTGAATCTGTCTTGGCTTCTCATCTTTATGGATAGTTAAAGCAATCAAATTTACTTTTGTGTGCAAAATGCTTTGAAATGGTGACTATCATATAACAATCAATTAATAAATGTCAATGGCTATCCTTTGCCCCCTTACCCAGGTAGCTTTGCTATTTGTCTTCATTGAGCATAAATACTAGTCTAGATGCTTTGACTAAATGACCTTGGAATCTGTAATGCCTTGAGTCACAAGGTGGTAATTCAAATAAACATCTTCCCGAGTTGATTAGCCCCTAAGAGATGTCAAGTCCTTAGCTAACAGATCAAGTCTACGACCTTTATTATGTGTGTATCTGTGCTGACAGGTTGAAGTACATATGCCTGTATTTAGAGAACAGAGGTCAACATCAGGTGTCTCTTTAAGTTGCTTCTCCATCTCAGTGTTTGAGGTAGTCTGACGCTGACCCTGGAACTCAACAGTTCCCTGAGGTTGGCTGACTAAGGGTTCCACCTGTCTCTGCCTCCCTAGTGCCATGACTCTAGGTGTGTGCTGCTATGCCTAGCTTGTTACATGGGTACTAGGAATGCAACTCAGTCCGCAAGCTTGTGCAGCAAGCACTTTAGGTGAATGGGCCTTCTCCTCTCTTCTTTCTCTGGGCATTTCCTGTGTCCTGATTGAGAGCACTGTGAAACCTTTGCAGAGCAAAGAATATACAGTCAAGCTGAGCTTCGGGTTTCCTAATTAGAGAATTTGTGACAGAAGAACGGGTTCCCCAGGATGCACATAAGTGCCTTGTCTATACTCTGTGAGCAAGTCTTGAATTCTTCCTTTCCCTTCCCTTCCCTTCCCTTCCCTTCCCTTCCCTTCCCTTCCCTTCCCTTCCCTTCCCCTCCCCTCCCTTCCCTCTTTTTCCCCTCCCCTTCCCTTTTTCCCTTCCCTTCCCTTCGTTTCCCTACCCTTTTTCCCTTCCCTTCCCTTCGTTTCCCTTTCTTTCCTTCCCTTCCCTCTCTCCTCCTCCCTCTCCTCTCCCTTTCCTCTCTTTCCCTTCGTTTCCCTTTCTTTCCTTCCCTTCCCTCCATCCTCCTCCCTCTCCTCTCTCTTTCCTTTCTTTCCCTTCCTTCCTCTTTCCTTCCCAATCTTCCAACAAGCATAAAAAGAAAATCTTGTATTGC